TTTCTAAAAAGTGCTTAAAACATCAATATGCCAATTTTGCAGTGCACAGGGCCAGACAAATGTTAGGTTCTTCCTGGTGGACCATGACTGGGAAAACAAAAACAAAACAAAAAAAAAAAAAAGAAAAAAGGGCAGGGGGGGCCTAAAATCTGCTCCTTTGGCTATTCTCTCCATGAACTTTAGAGTGTATTTGGATCTGGGAGACTCAAACTCACTTCTGCTTTAAAACTCAGTATATGACTTCACCCTGGGTAGCATACTGGAGAAGCTGGTTAGCAAGCCTCAAATGGAATCGCTGTTTTTAAAGTCAAAAGGAAGAATATTAACAAAGCTTACCAACACCTGTTCAGAAAAATATTACATAGCACTGCAAGCAGCAGAGATACAAGAGCTGAGCTTTAATAAGCATGCATAGAAGCCAGTGTTATACTGAGAGGTCCAAGCTTGTCGATAGGAGCCTGTCTACCAGCATATATTCAGGGGCTCTAGGGTTCTTATGAAACTAGGTGTTTCCTGAAATCTGACTAACTTTATTCATTTCCACCTTTTATACTCTACCTTCCTTGTATTCTTTTAGGGAATTGCTAAGAAATCTAGTTGAACTATCTTAGTTCTATTTTATTTAACTCCAATTTGAATTAATTTCCTCTGTGAAACACATACAGTAAGATTTCAGTCACTGGTCTGTTGAAAGCATGCAGATTAGTTACCCGAGTCTTCTGAAAGCACTGGCATGGCTTTGTTCTTAATCCCGAGAGACAAAACACGATGATAGTTTCTTCTTTCTGGACTGTGATTCAGAGGCAGTCCTGAAATAAGCAAAGATAATACCTAAGCTCAAGCACGCGAGAACAATGGCAATCATGTAAAAATAGTAAATTCCTAGTACATCTTTCTCTCAAGTGTTCTGCTTGACCTGAATCAGGCAGAGTCCTGCAGTTATTCTGCTATGCAAGTAACAACATGAAAAAGATTGTTATATAATAACCGTATGATGTCTTGAATAAAGCTGATGCTGAAGAAAGCAGGTGCTTCCCTATTCTATTCTTAAGATAGACAGTTTTAGAAGGCCTAAGTAACTGTTTGAAAAGACAGAAAAGAAAAAAGCATGCTGCAGAATGGATGTCTAAAAGCACTGACAAACACCACATGCACAGAAGTAGAAAGAGCATGCAGGAAGATGCTGTCACGACAAGATGTTCTGGGGCTTCCTAAAAGCACACCCCAAAGGAATTTACATCCCTCTGGCATTCTGATGCAGCACGCTACGATTACATGCAACTCATTAAAGCTAGTATGAGTGTCACTCCATCAACCTTGGTCATGGGTACTAAGGATGCCACAACAAATAAGGCTACTTCCATTGCTCAGAAATTCCATTAGATGCTTTTAGTGCAGATTTTTCTGGTCACTGAGAGCAAATGACTCGAGAGCAATTTCATTTCAAACTGCAAAACTAAATCCATGCTTGTAATCACCAGTCCAAGATGAAACACTTTGTGTATTCTAGGGCATTTAAAACCTTGTTCATGGGCATAAAATTCATCAGGCTAATGCTTGCAGAAAAATAAACAGCCATAACAGCATGCAAAAAGGATTAGAAAGAAATGTGGGATACTCCAACTCTTTGCTAAATGCAATAAAGGATGCTCCTTGTGTTTCTATTTGTAGATAAACCGCTGATATTGTGATCGCATGACACAAGTTTGATGGTTTTCTGATTCATTTTGATTAGCTGCCTGAAAATACTGTAGTACTGCATGGCAAATTACCATATACCTGTCTAGCATTTTCTAGATTCCTGAGTTTCTCTACAACATACTGAAATGTTAAGCTCAATAGTCACCCGTGTTTTGCACCCCATATTTTCTACTGCTATGCTTAAGCAGTCCACCTGGGTATCAAAAAAGTGATTTCTCTAAACAAGTGAACTCAGAGTGTTGAGATTTCACTCTAATCCATGGATCATACTCCAGTGTATTACATATACTACACATTTATTTAATTAACTTTCAGAAGGACTTTTATTGTCTATTGCTTTGAAGAACTAAACATTTCACTCCCCTCTCCCCACTTCATGCCAAAAGAAATGCATAGGCAATTCATTTAACCACTCTGGTTCCTTAACTATTGCATTTCATTTGACATGTATTTAAAATCTTTACTCATCAAGAAAGGGAACTTTAATTGCATGCTCTGTCTTTGTAACAATGTGCGCTTCTGTTCTGGGTTTGTGTGGCAGGGTTTGGGTAGCCGTGGAGGGGCTGCAGGGGTGGCTCCTGTGAGAAGCTGCTAGAAGCTTCCCAGGCTCCAGTTTGCACCTGCCTCTGGCCAAGGCTGAGCCCATCAGCAACAGTGGTAGTGCCTCTGGGAGAATGTATTTAAGAGGGGACACCTGTAGCAGGGGAGGGGAGTGGGATGTGAGAGAAACCCTTATGCAGACAGCAAGGCCAGTGAAGAAGGAGGGGATGCCCCTGCAGTCCCTGGTGAAATGGCAGCCTGTCTTCCTACAGCCCATGGAGGTGAGCAGGGGAGCAGATGCCCACCTGCAGCCCATGGAGGAGCCCACACTGGAGCAGGGGAAGAGTGAGGAGTCCTCCCCCTGAGGAGGAAGGAGCGGCAGAGACAAGGTGGGATGAACTGACCCCAACCCCCATTCCCCGTCCCCCTGCGCCGCTGGGGGGGAGAAGGTGGAGAAAATCGGGAGTGGAGTTGAGCTGGGAAGGAGGGAGGGGTGGGGGGAAGGTGTTCTAAGATTTGGTTTTCCTTCTCATTATCCTTGTTTTGATTTGATTGGTAGTAAATGAAACTGATGTTGTTTTTTCCCCAAGTTGAGTCTGTCTTTTGCTCGTGACCATAATTGGTGAGTGATCCCTCCCTGTCCTTGTCTTGACCCATGAGCTTTTCTTTATATTTTCTCCTTCTCATCCCACAGGGATGGGGAGAGGAGTGAGCAAGCAGCCTTGTGGTGCTTTGTTACCAGCTGGGCTTAAACCATGACAGCTTCCCACAGCCAAACTTATGTAGCACCAAAACCCAAGAAAACCCAAGTTATTTTTCCAGACTCTTAGGGGAAAAAGCATCCCACAGAGGAATCTGGAAAATAGGTGTTTTAACACCTCAAGAACCTGACAGCAAACTCAGGAACACTGGAATTAGATGAGTTATCAGCAATCAAAATGGAGGCTTCCCCTAGAGGCATTTCCCATGCTCTGTAAAAATTCTGTTAGCCAGGACTGATCAGAATGAACACTCAGAATAATGAAAAGCATTCCATATCCAGTAATTTCTCAGCAGCATGCTCCATGTCAATACTCAGGGCTGGCTTCAAAGTACTAAATTCAGCCTCGGCATGTGATGTTTTTTGCAAGGGGGGCTTGAAAGCATAAATCTGTCCTTTCATCACTGTAGTATGAATAGGCTCAAATACACTTTTCATCTTTGAAAAATATCTACCCCAAACCATAATACATTTTTTCACACATACCCTTGCCCAGCTGTACCCAAGGCAGAATGTTTGAGCCACCTTCCTTGCCTAGGAAAAGGACTATTGATATTTGGAAAGGGTTAAATAAACTGAACTGATGCGCTACATGGGTTCAAAGAAGGGGATTAAATAGAAGCATAATACACTTTGTCATATCCCTATTACCTTGGAAAATAAACCTAGTGTGGTTCCCAGCCTAATACAACATAAAGCTTCTGTAATCCAGATGTTTCAGTCTAAGTGGTAGATCTCATTTTGGAAAGCAGTTGCATTCTAGCATCTTTCCAGGAGAAGATCACCCCAGTGATCTGCACGCTAGTAAGATCATAGCCTATAGCTGTGACACACGATTTCTCACCTTGCTTTTGTGTACAAAACCCATCCAAATCTGACTGAAGTAGTCTTTCGCTGGGTCCTCTACCCGCTTTTTAGCGTTAAAAGAGCTACTGCTGTGATGGCTAAGTGAGGCACGGAGAAAACCGCGCATCGTGCCTAGTTCGGCACTACGGGGACAGGCTTCTCGTCCGAGGACCCGCGCTCGGGGCCGGGCGCGGCTCAGGTGACCTAGGGGCTTGGCGGGAACCCCAGGGGCGGAGCACGGCGAGGCGGACCAGCTTCCCCGGCAGCGCCGGGCGGAAGTCTCCTGCCCCGGAGAGCGCTTTCCATGCGCTCCACCAAGCTGGGGCACCGATGGCTCTGCCGACAGCAAGGCTAGCGCGGCCGAGCCTACTCACGGCCCAGTCGTGAGACCAACGGGTATGGGGCGAGGTTTTGCCCCGGACCGGGCTTCCTGCACGCCGGCAGCAAGACGTCCTCTTGCACATCTCCTTCTCCAGCCGCGAGGACGGGCTCTGCGAGCACCTCTCCGGCCCTATCTCAGCCACACGGAGGACTCCGCAGGGCTTCCGCCAGGCACGGCCCCGAGTCCTCGACCTCGGCCAGAGCCCGCCAGGTAAACCCCAGCGAACCCGCCGGTTCCCGCCACGCCGGGGCCCGCGCCTCGAAGGCAGCGTCAGAGCCCGGCCCGGCCCGGCCCGACCCCGCCCCGCTCAGCTCCAAAATGGCGCTGCCCCGGCCGCCTGTGCAGGTACGAAGCCGCGCCGCGCTTCGGGAGCAATGCTGCCGCCGGGCGACCGTTACCTGCGAGTGCGGGCCCGGGCCCGGGCCCGGGTACGGGCCCGTGTGGTGCTGGCTGCCTGCCCCGGCAGGCCGCAGAGCCGCTCCCCGGCGCCGGCGTCCCTGTAGCCCTCTGCGCGCCTCGCTCATGCGCCCTCAGAGCCGTTCTACGCGCCGCCTCCCTCCCTCCCCCAACCTGCTCGGGGCCGGGCGGGCGGCCGCGCCAGGGCCGGGGGCGGCTGCAGCCCGCCTGGCTCGTCGTGCACCGCTGGGGATTCGCCGCGAAACCGCAGTGTAGAGTGGGGGCGGCAGCGCACCGTCAAGCCTAGCGGCTGCGAGCTCCAGCCCCGGGTTTCGCCCCAGAGGTGGCGGCGCTGGGCGCGGCTTTTCGGTGAGGGGCCCCACGCGCCTCCAAGGGAGCTCGGCAGGCCTCCGGGGCGCCGTGCGGAGCTGGGCCGTTGCCGCGACCTAGCCCCGCTCAGCGCCACCCGGGCTCCAGAGTCCCCTTTTCTGAAGCCAGCCTTGGGGAGTGAGTGTCGATGGTGGTTAGCGCAGCCGTCTAGGCCGCTAGCTAGCGAGCAGCTGTCAGGTGTGCTGTGGAATGGGAAGACTTGGGAGGACGCTGCAGTGGCTTTCTGGATTTTTTTTATAGGGGCAGTCATCCCAGGAGGGGGGACACGGCATTGGAGCATGCACAAAAATACCTGGGGGCAGATCGTGCTGGTGGATGTTTGGTGGCCAGGCATCGAGGGAGCAGAAGCTCACAGGCTGATCGCATAGGGCAGCTGGCAGGGCATGCACAAGAAGCAATCCAGGTCTTAAAGGTAAAAACAAAAAGCTGTATTCAGTGAAGTAAAATGGGTAGCCAATGGAGAGACTAAAAGAGTCGGTAAAAATCACAGCAATATGGCAGAAGATCTGCTAGGCTTTATGGAGGTAGCTTCCCCCCCCATAAAAATGGTAGTATTTGGGAGATAGAGAGGCTAGGAACAGATGAGTTTTAGTTTGCAGAGTACTCTCTCTAGCTCTTCAATTCTTAAAAGTCCTCAGCAGTAAAGATAGGACAATCTATTAGCCACTTATCAGATGCAATACTAAAAAATAATTTGGGAGTATAGCTACCTTGGTCAGTCAAGCTTTTAGGCGTGAAACATCCTTATAAAATATATATGCATATGAAGGCTAGTCTGCAGCACAGAACATTACTCTGGAAAGAATAAACAAGCTATTTATCAAAGTATTTACTAAACATTCATGATAATTTTATTGCTTTATAATTTCTCCAAAGCTATTCATTAGTGATATGTTGTTACGGTGACAAATGGCATTAAGACAAAGTAGAAATTCTTCCCAATATTCTCCTAAGGTTCACCTGAACAAAGAATAATACGAAAGAAAATAACATTTTCCTTCTTCCGAGCCAGGGTACAAACAGCAGTGCTTCCATCTGCAGCAATTACTGCTGTGATTGTAAAAGTATAGGAGACCTAAAATTTGTCAAAATAGAGTGGGAAAGGCATGCAGAGACTTGGCAGCAGGCCACTTTGATAATTGTTAAATAAATTTTCATTTAACTTGTAAAAATGCATACATGAATGAGTTTCTTTAGTTAAGTCACAGTTACACAAGTAATTGTCAGATGTGTTCTACTTCTTTACAGTTCTTCACTGCAGATGGTTTAAGGATTTACTCGGTGTGGTTTTTCAGATATGATGGCAGCAATATCACTAAATGCAAACAGGATCAGCTGGTATATTCAAATATAAGTTAATCATTGCAAGAACAGCTAATACGACTTTACCAGCCTGCTGCAGTTACCAGGAGAAAAAAAATCAAATTGCTGTTTCTTGTATCTTTGGACTTTTTTTTATTAAAGCAACTTTGATTTACTGTTTTTGCAAGAGAAAAGGAAAACAAAAAGAAAGAGAATCCCATGAAATGTGAAAACCTACGAATCAGTTTTCAGTTCTGTGCAGTTATAGGAGATTTAAACTTACACTACTGTGCTGTGATTGCATCATTGAATGCAAACATCATTCTGAAATACTGTAGACTATTGCATGACAGGTCGAGTTTTTTTTTTAAACAACGCTGTATTTTGCAGAGATTTTATGGATTTAGTAACTACTTTTTTTTGGAGGGAAGCATTGTGCAGGGGGATAAGAAACCCCTATTAAAAAACATCTTGCTAGTGGGGTACTGTTTCTGTGATTTGTCCATCACGCAGAATAACTGTCTATTTTCTTACAAAAATGGAGAACTTAAAATTTTGAAGGTGGACATGTTGCCCTTTTAAAGACTGCTCTTTCTCCCAACAGCTAGCCTTTCAAGCAGAAAGTAAGCAATTATTTCCAAGGTGAAAGTATGTCTTTTGTCTGCTTTTAATAAAATAATGAAGTGACAAATTCCAGTTTCTGAAGAAAAGCCTGCCTAAAATCTAGGAGATAAAAATCTCTGAAGGTCAGATGATTATGTTTTCAAACTACTAGTGTCAGGCTGAAAACAGGCTGAAAAAGATCCAAAGTTCGCAATCAGATTTTCCTTTGGCTAGAATTAGAATAGAAGGGAGGAGGAGATTGGCTATTTTGCTTTTTTGAGCAGCAGCTGAGTCAGATTGGAATGTTGCTATGGAGTCCACAGAACTGGCCTCCATCATACTTGCTTTAGCTGTGGGTAATGTCTTTTCCTATGTGTCCCATCAAAATGCGTTCAAAAATCAAAATGACTTGGAAGATGCAGTCAGGGTTGGTTATCCAGTTTGTGAACAGTCATTTGTAGAAATTTTTTTATGTCTAGTCTAGCCTTGAAAGACTTGTAAGTTTCTCACTGCTTGTGAAGTATATTGATACACAGTTAACATAAAGGAAGAAAAACATTCTATAAGATTATTTTTTGACAAATGAAGGCTACCAACTGGAATTCTTAGGTGCAAACCATTCTTACTGACACCTGAGGCATAAATCGATAACTTGGTTGCAGCAGATCAGTGAATGGAAATGATTCTACTGACTGTCAGGAATAGGGTTTGGTTTCTTTTATGTCATGAAAGAGGTGTTTCCAGGCAGTGAGGCTCTTCTCAGTCAGACTGAGTTTAGCAAGTTTGGTCTTTCAATAGGAACACTGCTGCCTCTGTTCTGAAAGACCAGCACATTAGTAATGTATACTCAAGCCCCATGGTACGCATCTACATTATTCCAAGACGCAACTCTGCACGTCGCTGCTAGCCTTGTATTTTATCTACAAATTCCATCTGCCCTGGCAGTAAGAAACACAGAGTTTGTCCAGGAAGACCCAGGCTCCTACTTTCTACCTGGTATTATGAAAAACAGCTAATATAGTTGAAGGTCAGGATGTGTCCATATGATTAATATGTGCAACCTGCGAGGGGGATCAGGAGGGGGAAATCAGAGGAAGAGGCTCCCATGATGGGCATCACCACACAACTGAAGATGGTGTCTGCAGGCAAGCAGTATGGGTCTTCTGCTAATTAACCTCCAACATACCCTGAGGTGCTGTTGACACAGCATTACAGACAGAACTCCTGCTGTTCTGAATACAGCTTCGCCACTGCAGGCGGCAGTAATGCTACTACCTGTAGTGGTAAACAGAAATTCATAATGAGCATATTACTGTTTGGATAGGCTAAGATGTGCCATGTTTGTATAGTGCAAGTAGCCAGTTTGCTGAACGCTGTACTTCCCTAGCAAGCTGAAGATTTATGTTAAAGGGAATTCTAACTGTACATTTCTGCCCTGGCTGAGCCCTTGGAAGAAACACAGCACTCCTGTTTCATCTTCCCTCCTGTGTGACTGAGACTGTTACATCAGGTTTGCTGAGTGACCATGGGATGTGCAGCCTGCAATGGCAGCACGGCACCTGCCTATTCAGGAGGCAAAATGCAGGAGCATTCTTCAGAAACCTGAGAGCCTCCAGAAAGGGCAGGGAGCTATGCAGGAGTTTTTAAGGATCCAAGTTTCAACTTTGGTACCTATGGCCTTTTATGAATGTAACCCATAATCTCTAGGTAAACCCCATCAGCTCTCTGTTCAGCATGTGTGCAAGAAGTCTAGTTAAGCTGAGGTTCATGCCACTAACAGAGAGCAAGTAAAACCCAAAATATTGTGCCCTCCCCATGTAGTTGTACTCCAATTTTAGATGTAGCATGCAAAGAATGAGGAAAGAGTTAAAGAATGGATGGCAAGGAAGAGGAGTTACATCAGTAATGTCCAGTGCATACTGATACAGCCAAGTGTATGTCTTAAGAATCATTAAACTGTTAAGGCTGACATGTTTAGTTCTTGCGGATTATTCTGGAAATGATTGGTTGAGGGCATTTGAGAGGTTTTGAGTTTTTTTTTTTTTTAACTTTAAGGAGACTGGTGAGAACAAGGCAGTGGAAAATGTTGCACAGTTAGAGAACAATAAAAGAAATGCAGACATTATTCCCCAGGAGTGGAGTAGGATTGAAAAATCAGGCATATGCTGTGCAACTAGCAAAGTCAGAACTGGCTCCAGAATGGGAGCGTAACTGTGTTAACTGTGGTACTGCATACAGACTAATGAGCCCTGCTGAGAGCCAACAAGCTGCAGCATCTGTACGGTGCTGAAACACTGATGTGAGATGTGTATTTTTTCCACCTTACTGCCCTGTGTAGCATAGATACTTGTGAAATCACATGACAAAAGCCATCAAGCACTTGTCAATTGGTGGTCAGGCTAGGCATCATCCACTTAACCTGCAAGGAAGAAGGAGTGTGGAATTACTGAACCTGGATATTTGTGTCCTGTACAGCTAGGTAATCAAATTTCTCTTCAGTATGTGTTAGATAGCAAACCTCTCTCCAAAAGATACAATATATGCTTAAAATTAATGTAGAGTTAGAAGGTAGACTCTTCAGTTACTGTCTCCCCTTTCTCAATATTAAGAAACTGTCCAACCAGCGGGCACTTGCCCGGAGATAAATGATTATTGTTGGACCGTTGAAAAATAAATGGTTTTATCCACATCTTGGATGATGCCTTCTCACCGACTCCACTGCTGCAGGCCTTCTTTTGCAAGAAATATCAAAAGTACAATTCTCATTGGGTAATGGATACTTAGGGACAAGGAAATATTTTTATAATGTTTGGCTGACCAGTGAAATTAATCTCAAATTGTTCAGCCCATCTGATATTTGCATTCCATATTTGTGGTGAAAATGATGTGCTCGATTTGGGAGGAAATCAGAGGGAAGAGAACTGTGATCCTCTTTAGTTCTGGAAAATATGGCTCCTGAAATACCACAAAGCACCTACTGCAGCTAGGCACGGAGACTTCTTGGAAAGTATTAATGAAGTAGTGTCAAGACCGATAGCGTGAACATTTAAAAAAATACTTGCTTATGCTTTAGCATTTGGTGAAAATACTGAAATTAAACATCAGACAGACTAATAGTTTATTCAGTTCCCAGTCTAGAGCTGAAGGAAAATGCAATTGCCAGTTACTACAGACTTACTTTCTAAACACTCAGCAACTGTGGGCTACAGTTTTGTAATGGCAATGCGTTGCTGAAAATTAGGTGTTGAAATGACTGACCTGAATGATAATAGTGTTCTTATATAACTGCGAATGAAATTCAAATACCGATTATTTTTGAGAAAGAATAGTAAAAATACTAAGGGGGAAGGGAAGTCAGTAGCATAGCCCCACTTTGAGCTTCTAATGCCCTTAGTAATTAACACTGCTGCTTTCAGATCTTTTCTGTCCATCAAAAACATGAGAGCTGCATTGAAACCGCTTAACCTTCTAGGGAACTGTCTTTGGAACAGCTTCTCCGCTAGTTTGGTTGTAACCAGGAATGCATAGACATAATTATGGCCTAACTCCGATGGACTAGGCCTGGTTTACTTGGAATACTTTTCTTTCACATGCGGATTGAGGAGTAGCATCTTTGCATTCCTTTGTCTAAGAGCTGACCTATCTTACGATTTCCTTCTAAAATCTCCAGTGCTGCCGGCAGCGCGGCCTCTCAGCTGATGACTTGGTGTCGCTCACGTTATTATTCTAATTTCCGGCAGCCTGAACTCCGCTACCAGGGTGTTACGGTGAAACGACATCTGTAAAGTAATCTTTCGTCCGCGCCCGAGGGTCTCTGAGCGCGGAAGGAGGCGCTGACTGCAAATGGCTTGGAGCAAAAAGACGCCGGCGACTTACCGCCCAGCTCAGGGGCACGACTCGCCGCTCTGCTTCCGCCGCGGTCTGACGCCCTGACCGCCCGCGCAGCCGCCGGCCG